TCAAAAATCCTCCTTCACACCCATCACTGTCTGCACGGTGCAGCCCCCACCTACCTCACCGAACTCCTCACCCCACATACCTCAGTCAGAACCCGGTCAGGCCAACTGCACTGTCTGTGCCCACCCAGGACTCGGCTCAAGACCATGGGCGGCAGGGCCTTTGAGGCTGCTGCTCCCTGTCTGTGGAATGCCCTCCCCGACCACCTCAGGGCTCCACAGTCGGTGGATGCTTTTAATGAAAAGGGCTCAAAACCTTCCTCTTTCAGAAAGCCTACCCGGACTAATTTTATCTGATTTCATCTGCTGACTGTTTTGATTGTTTTGTTCTGTTGATTGATTTTACTGTTATTGTTGTTTTGTTTTGTTATTGTTGCCTGTGCACTTTGAGATTTGTTTTCAAATGTTCAAAGTGCGTTACAAACAAAATCTGTTATTATATAGGGTCCCAGCCATAGTACTAGCCACCAAACATCTTTTTAGCTTTGCCTGATTTCTTTAGCAAAGAGACTAAACACAACTTACCCTCTCTCTTTCAGCAGCTGCTTGTTTGTAGCGAGACGTTGAGCCAGTCCATTACGGACTACAGCAAAGTGGCGCAGCTCAAGGAAGAACATTCATAGTCATTTCTTCATGGAAATGCATTGGACCAAGATGCTAAGGCAGAAGAACTACCATGTCTGTAGAGCAAAATGATTAATATGATGATTATTACTTCAAGGAAATGATGAAGTAATGATCATAAATGTTCTTCCTTGAGCTGCATCGCCCCGCAGCAGTCCGTAATGGACTCGTCCTAAGGTCTCTGTACAAACAAGCAGCTGCTGGAAGAGAAAGGGTGAGTTGTGTTTAGTCTCTTTGCTTAAGAAATCAGGCAAAGTTACAAAGGATGTTTGGTAGCTAGTACTGTGGCTAGGACCCTTTATGTACTGTTGATGAAGTTAGGTGCTGTTCTGAGCATTATTTGTGGCTGTAGAGTGGCGTTTTGAGATGTAGACTGTTGCGTATTGCTATTGTGCGGTCGTTATTGAAGTTGGTATAACTAGAGAAGCAAGCAGTCGACAACATTAAAATAATTTTACGCCAGAATATCCCTTTAAATGGGCTCAGGTCCAGAGAAGTCTCTGCTGTTTCTGGATCATGCTTAGGGTTTCCTCTTTGCATGGTTCAGTTTTAACCCGCATTTGTGGATGAAGCAACAATACTTCAGGTTTGTGGTTTTAACCTGTAAGGGGACAACAGTAGAGTGCCAGTACTAGATTTGCTTATGTTAGCCACACTCTTGCAAACCTCTCCTGACTGTTTACCAGCAGACTCTGTGATCCAGTGTTTAATTGTGTTAGATAACTCAGCTTTATCTGTAGAGCACCCCAAGTGCTTTGTAAGTAAGGTAGAATCAACACAGTGAAGTCAGTAACAACTGCAAAATAAAAGTTCATTAAAGTTGAAAGATTGTAGAAGAATTTAATATCCAAATAGATACATGCATAAATCAATGAACCAATTGCTGAACAAAATAGTCATTTTCTGCGGAGACGCTTGGCAGAAAAGGGTGTAATATGTAGAGTCATTTCACATTTTCACAAAAGTTTGCCAGTATTGGTCTTACAAAAGCAGTGTATGTTAGGAATACATGATGTAACCTGCAGGGAGAAGCTTCAAAAGGTCTGCATTGGCAGATATGAAAATGCTGACAGCTTACATGACCCAATTATCTGATCAATTTTCATCCCAGACCCTTATCCTGGACCGCACCGGAAGTTTCTCAGAGAAGGTAGAACAAAAAAAAAAAAAAAAAAAAAGTAAACTGTCAGAAGCCTCATTTAACAAAACAAACTCTGTCCTGCACAGATCCATGATAAAGGATCTTCTTCTGCTTGATTTCAGCTGTTTACATGCTGTGGATGTATTTTTAAAAAGTGCTGTCAATCATCTGGTCTGATATATAACCCCCTCACAGGTATTTCAGGTGCCGTTGATGGTCATGCTCACTGTTTTAGGTCACTTGAAAAGCAGTCTGTACTCTTCAGGGGAGCTTGAATTGTAAAGAAAATGAAGACATGTAAAATTATAAAATACAGTCAGTCTTTTCTTTAGAAACACTCTCTGTTCTCTCTCTTTCTGTCTTTTTCCCACAGTCGCTCTTTTCTCCTCCAGCAGCTGCACATTTGTTGCGTTGTGTTGCTCTGCAGCAGCAGCTCAGCGATGAGAGAGGCCGCTGAGGTCAGACGTGTTTGTGGTTGGTTTCAGGCTCAGCTGGTGCAGCAGATGTTTCTGTTTAATTTTCTCAATCACTCTCACACCTGTTGTTCCTAACAGAGTGAGACAGACAGACCAGATTACACTCAACTCTTCTTCCTTCAGAAAGAGACAACATGAATTTATTTCCACTTTCTTATAATCAGTGAAGAGGCTGTGTTGTGCTGTTTTACTATGTTTTGTTTACATCTACTCTTCTTCTGTAAGACTGGCTGAATTAATTTGAACCTGTGACTACTCTGAAAGCTTGGCAGACGTTTGGTTAAGATGAGTGAGGACTGAGATCTCTGACTGACATTAGCCAGCAGGGGGCAGTGTTAAATGTTAACTGAGAAGAGGCTCCTGCTGAGTGGAGGTGGCTGAATTGTTGGTCTGCAGATGATGGTATGGGGGATTTTTCTGCTCTGTGATTTTTGGCATTTCGGACAACTAAAATGTACGGTGGCCTGGAGGTGCAAAACACAACCGCAAAAGAGAAAACAGGACTGCAAATCAAAACACAAACGCAAAAGAGAAAATGCAACCACAAATCACAAAAGGCAACTGCAAATCACAAAACGCGACTGCAAATCACAAAACACGACAGCAAATCACATAATCAAATGCCAAAAAGAAAACACAACAGCAAATCACATATGCAAACGCATTTGTGTTTTCTTTTTGGCGTTTGCATATGTGATTTGCTGTCGTGTTTTGTGATTTTCGGTTGTGTTTTCTCTTTTGCATTTGCGTTTTGATTTGCTGTTGTGTTTTTTCTTTTGCTGTTGTGTTTTGCACTTCCAGGCCACCGTAAAAATGAGCTTATCTCAGTGTTAAGTTGTGTGTGTGGGTTTCGATCATTTCGTCGTCATGTTTTGCTGTTATATCACAGACTGTCTCCCTTGCGTTTTGTCTACAGTAGGCATATGAAATCTCTTTTCCTCCGTATTTCAGGCTGTTCAAAAACACAAAGTGTTATTAAGTTACCTTGCGCAGTAGGAACTTTCAGTGACTGTGGACTGTTTCCTGACTTAAAAAAAAAACTTTACAAACCGTTTTTAATAAAAAAAAGGAAAATAACAGTCATGTTAATCCATAATGTAGGCTTTATTTTACTTTATTTTTACACTTTTAAATCCATTTCATAAAGGCCACATGTCTGGGTCAAAATGAATACTGCTGTGTCAGGTTTAAATTCATAAGATGAAAATGGGAATTTTGAGTGGTTTGTTGAAAAGAGGGGCAAACTTTACAGTTAAACTGCAGTTTCTGGGACAAGTAAATCTTTAAATTCATGAATGAGGAAACGACTTTAGAGGAAGGGAAAGAAAAATCTTCTACATGCGTATTCCCTTGTGGTAATTGTAAATTAAAGATGATTAATCACTTCAAACAGAATGAAAGAAGTAAAAATGAACCAACATTTAAAGCAATCAGAAATCTAACGTCTTACAGAATTTTGAGTGAGTTTTGTAGGTCAAAGTAGTGTGTAAAAAGAACTAAAAGCTACAAACTATTCTCTAAAAAGAGGTTGGACTGCATTAATTGTTAGGAAAACAAGGCTTAAAATGACACTTTAAGTGTATTACAAATAGCTATCTTTTAACAAACTGCACGTGTTACAACCAGAGACAAAGTTTGCAGCGTGGTTGTTTATTTTCGGCAGGGACAGTGAAGTACACACCATCGTGCTGCCATAGTGAGGACAAAAACAACACAACGCCATCATTTCCCAACATACATGACATCAGCGTGGAGGAGTTAACGCTGCCTTCAGGGACACCTCGTACATATGTGCTTCAACCATATACATGTCAGATATTTTAAAATTTCCCAAAACAGAGTTGTTGTTTTTTTTTTAAATTTAAACTTAGCCTGTCACATTTAAGCCCTTGTTGAAAGAAAAAAATAAATAAATCCTAATATAACTATAAAGATAACCATTCAAGTGTTGGTCCAAAATATAGCCACACTTTATTATTTTCAAACTTTAAAACTGCAAGAATAAAATCAAAAATATGAAAAGAATGAAAATACAATTTTTATCTTGAATAAGAAAAATAAATAACTGATGACTGACACAAATATAAATTTTGGTGATATTTGGTAAATGTGAATACATTATGCAAAGTACAAAAATAAATGCACTCAATGTATTTAACCTCTTTTTACATGTAAGCATCCAGCTTACACAATAAGAGAAAGTAAAAAAAAAGAAACTGACAACAATGTTTATAATAATGTAGGATTTGAAATAATACAGGGTAATTACAGATTAATCAACAAACGGGAATTAACAAAAGTAAAAACAGCAACACAAATAAAATTCAGAAAACTAAGTGATAAGAAGTTAAATTTGAATAAAACAAACTTTAAAAAAAACTTTCAAAATCACGAAAGGCAGGGCTCTGGCAAGAACTTTCTTTTCAGTGCTTTTGTAAAAGCATGAAAAGGTTTTAAGTAGTGTTTGGAGGGAAATACAGCTGAGTGTTATTCCTGTTTTCCCAGAATACAGGCAAACAATACCATTGGACCGTTATTTTTCCGTTATTTTCTCTATAGTTTATATATCCGATGGTCATGAATGCAGCACGGGCTTATGGGCGTGGTTTAGAAAAGCCCCAGAGTGAGTCATGATTCTCCTAACGCTTCAGACAGCAGCGGTGACCTGGAGCCCACATTCAGTAGTAGGTTAAAAAACACGGAATAAACCGGTGAAAATGTCGCTCCCGTCGCTGTGACTGCCCCTTGGGTCCGCGGGCTCCATGGTCTATTTACGGGGGATGCACACCGAGGCGCATAGCGTCAAGCCGGGCCAGCTGCTCGAGATGTTTGACTCTTCGTGGAAGGTGCGGAGCATTTGGGACGGGGTGAAGCTGGAGGTGGCGGAGGACCGCAGCCCGGTGGTCCTGCATAGCTTCACACACCTGGACCCGGACCTGCCGCTGCTGGAGGTGAGAAGGAAGAGGAAGCCGGGGGGCTGGGGCGGGAGGAGGGTGGAGGACACTCGGGTATGAGATGCGGCGGAGGTCCGTTAGCTGCGGCGGTGTGTTGTGTTGTGATCAGAGGAGATCTTCGGAACAGGGGATTTTGGTGATCCAGGATGAGGTTTGGTGTTCATCCTGGGTCAGTAAAAATATTTTTTTAGCTGTTATGTTGATAAAAAAAAAATTATCTAGCTAATGTCAGTTACCAACAGATAAATCAGTTTTTGATGGAGCTTGATAGATAGATAGATAGATAGATAGATAGATAGATAGATAGATAGATAGATAGATAGATAGATAGATAGATGATTCCAAGAGAAATGTACTTAATATAACTAAGGATAAAAACAGGTAGACCTTTATTTTTACTGCGTTCTCCTATGTTAACACTTTATTGACTTTTTTTGGACCAGCTTGTGACGTATAAGAAACTAAAAACTCACATAACACAATGTTTGTTTCTGGCCTCACACCTCATATGATCACAGTCCCTATGAAAACATCTTTCTAATTTGACATTATAAATCCTGTTAAGCCGCAAAGTGATACCAAAACAGAAAGAGCTTTAAGATGTCAAATTTTGAGCTTCCAGTAAGTGTCTTACTGTGTCAAATCTGTATAATCCAGATCTGAATAGACCTTTAAGGTGGGACAGACAAAATAGTATGAATTATTTAGACTGGAAGGTCCCTCTCAGACATCGGCACAGACGGCATTTACAGGATGACTTGCCTTTTTCACCAGTTTCACTCTGTGGTTATCACCCCTCCCTCCGAGCGGACTGTTATTCACCTCAGTATTCAACAGACGCTCGCTGAAACCCTGCAGTGCAGGTGCCAATGAGTCATATCTTACTAAACATTTTATTAAATATCAACAATACTGATATCAGGAGCCTTCTTTTTTTTTTTTACATTTATCAGTGATTTCCTAGCGTTTCTAGCAGTTTCCTGACATCAAGGGTTGAACAGTAAGTTGGCCGAAGAGCTAAAAATAATGGAAGTGTTTTTACAGAAGACTGTATGCATTCATATTCAATGTCAGAATCAATCGATGTGATTCCCAGTGTTAAAAACAGGACAACTGTGGCATTTAGATGTGATCACACCAACCACTGTTAGCTGGGAATTTTCCTGACTTTTACCTGCTGCAACAGTCTCACAACCTCTGCCACCACAACCTTCTGCAAAATTTTAGTAGGTAGTGTAATTCTCCCAAATTTCAGGTAAGAGATGAGGTGAAAAATGTACCCTCACATGTGACTCCCCAAACAATTTGGGGAAGTTTTCAAAAGTTCTTTAATACCAAATTCTTATTGTTAAGACAAATAAAAACTGTGGGGGCGAGGACATTACTTTCCAATCAACAAATGATCAAAAGAAAAGCAAGAGTAGACACAGCAGACACTGAAATTGATGCTCCACTCCTCTCAGAAAGAATTCTGTAATGCACAAGACCAAAACCATGTACACAGTCTGCAGAAACAGCTCCACACCCCCTCCAGCAGATTTAAACTTAAGTTTGTGGGCAATAAAAAAACATAAATAACATTCTTCCTGCAGAAATCTCACCAGAATAAAAGAACTTTGTAGATGTGGATTGATTTTGCCATATTCAAAACCACATTTTGGAAGTTTTTAGGAGTTTTGTTCAAATGTGAATACTGCTCTGAAGGGGAACAAGAATTTTTGTGCAATTTTTAATATAGAGTCCAGCAGTTGTGGTAGAAACTCATGGAAGAGTACAAACTAAAAGTTCAGGATGGTAACAGAGGAAAAGTCAGGGAGTCTGCAAGGCACCAAGAGTTCATGCTCTGGGGAGTATGAATGTTAAAGTATGTTTGATTGCAGTCCATTCAGTTGATGTCGAAGTTCTTCAGTAGAAAACTGACAAACATGGAAAAAGAATAACCCCAAAGTTTTCTCTCTGTGTTTATCCTGTTTTTTCCATCTCCGTTACCCTGAAGACTTACATGTCCTCCTCATCCTGTTATCCTACATTATAGCCTCTCTGTTGTCAGTGAAACGCTCTTTATGGATTAAGTGCAACAGTCTCCTCTCTTACTTACTGCTCCTTTATATCCTGAACATTCGATCAGATGAGGACAGAGGAGAAGTAATCATATTACTCTGTCTTGCGCAAGCTGGCGATTGAACTAGGACGACGTCTCTACTGATAGCACATGAGACTAGCTGTTGGTCTGCTATCTGGAGGACATGAAGTCTTTTTCTCTCTGGTCTGTTTAACATCAGTAGAAGCCGCTCTGAAACCACAGGCCTGTTATTAAACCCTCCGTTCCTCTTTTTGTGTGTCCTGAGCTCGCAGAGGTAGCTCTGCTCTCTAATCTAATCCTGTCCTCACTAACACAATTACCTAACACTTAATCCCCGTCTTGCAGAGGTAGAGGGGTTTCCTCCACAATCACTGCCTTTCTTTGCTCGCTCCGGAGGCTCAGGCGGAGGTTATTTGACGTCCTGGTTGTGTTACAGTAGAAAGGTTCACTAGGGCGGATGCCTGAAGGAAGGAGCTGGCTCGGATTCATGTGCTGATCCCTCTGGCTCCATGAAAGCAGCAGCAGCAACGTCACGGTGGAGTCTGTACGTACTGTATCATATCACTGACAGGATCGAATGATTGAAAGATCAGGTTACTGCTGTCTTTGACTTCTGACAAACAAATAAGGCTGTCTATCCCTGTTTGTGCCCAAGTTTCTCTCAGATTGGTTTCTCTTCTGTTTTTCATCACGAAAGGTCAGAAGTAATCGAGTTGAACTGATAAAAACATGATTTTTCTTTTCATTATTCCTCTTCAATGTTATTTCAGCCTAAAGTTTGAGTTCTGTGGATGGATTTCTGCTGGACAGCCTGCGCTCACAGACTCACACATGTTTTCATGGTGACTTTAAAATCAATCAAACTATAAGAAAAGGCCTGAAAATCTATTTGGAGCTTGTTTTGCACAAAAAAGTCTGTAACTGAGACATAGAAGAAGCAGCAAACCCTCTAAATGAACTACTCAGTAAGTTCTTCACTTTGACAGCTTTTTGAGTTCGATTAGATTTGGTATTTAGATGAAGTTTGTCAATAAAAATGAGAAAGATGCGAGGCAGCAGAGAGGATGACAGCGGGTGTCATGGTCCTCTAAATTCTTTTCCATGATTGTCCTTCTGTGGCTGATCAAATGTGCTGTAGATCTCATGCAGTGAACTGATCTGATCTGCTGGTAGGCAGACTCAGAGGTTTATATTTGTCATTTTAGGGCAAAATGTTTGACATTTCAAACTTTGGCTCATGGACTGATCTGCGATGTTGGATCCCCTTTATTCACTGTTTGTTTCTGCTCTTTGTTGCAGTGGGAAGCAGTAAACAGTGTGTAATGTTACTGTTTAGATGATGTGCATAATCTTTGTTCTTTTGTAATTCTGCCTGACTTTATGTAACACTGTATTACCACTGTAATCGTATTTACAGGAGCTGAGGAAAGCTCTTTGATGCACATGCTAAAACCTGAACACTGTACAAGAGTGCATTTAGCCTAAAAATAGTCGGGATTTAGAAATGAGTTTGTTTAACACTGAAGTCCAGCAGCAGCAAACCAGCAAGATTAGGGGCCGAAGCACCATAAAATAGGGTTGAATAAAGAGCAGATTGCTGCTCAATGAGACTGTCTGGAGAACTCCAAACAACACCTCCTTAAGAGGGGCTCATTTGGTTAAAAAAATCTGTTCGTATGTGTTCAGAGGACTTTACAGAGAGAGGCCTGCAGATTCTAAATACAGAGCAGCTCTTGTGTCAGTATCGGTGTTCATCTCTGTGGCTCTGTTTCTAAATCTTCAGATCTGTTAGAGGAAGTAATCAATGCTTTGTGCGGTCAGAAAGTGACAGTGAAATCTGAGACACACAGTTACAGTAAATGATCTCAAAACAGCGTCTTTCTGTCCGTCCATAAGGGCCTGATTGTCCTCTGCACTAGCCGTGACTCAGCAGCCTCAGATGAATGACATAATTACACAGCGCAACTCCAGTTATCCCACTGAGAATTAATAATCTGTAATGCCACCAAAAACAAAGGGAGGAGCTCATTGTAAAAACAGGGATATTAATAATACACCCTTGTAGTTATTTTGGGAGTCTTGAAATCTATTTTTATCCTCCTGAAACAGATTTCAAAAGAAAAAATGTGGTTTAAATGGGTCAGACAGTGCAGTAAAACGCCAATGAGACACATCTAGAAACAAAGATGGTGTTCTGTGAGTGAAAGGAGACCAAAGTATCAGAGACGTTACCCAGAGGCGTGACGAAGCACACAGATTGAGCTTAAATCAATTTCATTTGCATATTGCACAAACATCACTAAAATGGTCAATCAAAGTGCTCCACAAAGTTCAAATCTCAAAGGATAATGGTGTCCTCATCTGAGAATAAGAATAAGAACAACTTTATTTCATCTCAGAAGGGATTTTCAATTGTCGTCTCATTTGTCATGTCTAAAAGTCATCAACTATTTACAGAAGAGTTATAAAGTCTAATGGCTGTTGGTACAAAAGATCTTCTGAATCTCTCTGTCCTGCAGCGAAGAGAGAGGAGCTGTCCACCACCATTGGCCCTTTGGTCCATCAAGGTGTTGTGAAGTGGGTGATCCATGTTCTTTAGAATAGACTCCACCTTCATCAGTGTAGATCTCTCCACCACATCCTCCACTGAGTCCAGCTTGAGTCCAACCACAGAGTCAGCCTTTTTCACCTGTTTGTTAAGATGTCTTGCATCTTTGTGTTTGATGCTTTCTCCCCAGCAGCCTGCAGCGTAGAACAGAACACTGTAGACACCACAGACTGATAAAACATCTGCAGCATCTTACTACAGATGTCTATTGATCGGAGTCTTCTCAGGCAAAAGAGGTGGCTCTGCCCCTTCCTGTAGATAAAGTCTATGTTCTTAGACCAGTCCAACTTAAGAGCCAGATGTGCACCTAGATATCAATACGATGACACCACTTCAATGTCCACTCCATAGGTGTTCACTGGCTCAAGAGGGGTGTTGAGGAGGAGGCAGTTTTGGTGACCCCAGGAACTTTGAGCCATTTATTTCAAATGCAACCCAAGTCAAAGTGAGGGTGGAACAAAGACAGTATTGATGTATTTCTTGAGTGTGTGCATATCTCCTGAAGAACAACCGATTTTGGCTTTATTGAAGACAAAAATATTGATTGAAGCTCCCAGCTTTGCAGCAGCAGCTCGACTGTCCTGAACTGCTGCAGAGGTTTGATTTGAAAGCCTTCATTTGGTGCTTCTCAGCTGCAGACAAAACGACAGAAACAGACCTCAAGCTGGAATGTGAAGGACTATTGTCTTGAAAAGTACTTGGCTCTCCTGATTCTGCTCCCATGCTCTGTCTGGTCTGGTATAATTACCTGAACTAGTCTTACATAACTTTAATTTTTAAGAAGCACCAAATGAGGGGTCTAAAATCTGAGTGCCTCCCCTCACAAACCTCATCTTTTCTAAATGGCACAGTTGGGATTTTTCCCAGTCCCATCTGGACTGAATTAAAATGTGGGACACAATCCGCCTACATTAGCTTGTCAGAGTCTATAAATCTCACTTTATGAAAGAAATGAGTCCACATCATTGGATTAGATGAGGAGCTTATGAGCCACAAGTCTTAATCCAGATGGAGCAGCATGGTGCTGGAGGATGGAGTGGTACTGTTTGTTCTTCATGATACCCTTTACGTCAAACAAATCTTCTATTCTATCACTTGCAAAACATCCCCATACCATGGAACTACCACCTCCATGCTGAATTGTGGGTGTAACACATGGTGCTTTCAGACGTTCACCAGTTTGTCAGCGGACATAGACTCTGCGTTTTGAACCAAACTGCAAACTTGTTTCTAGTCATCATAAGTCCAATTTTTGTGAGCTTTTGCCCACTCATATATCTTTTTCTTGTTCTCTGGACTAAGTAGTGTTTTTTTGCAGATACACAACCCTTCAGACCAGCCTTTCTCAAATGTCATTTCACGGTTGTCAGAAATATGGGTTTCGACCTTGTCGTGTTGATTTCCTCCCTTATTTGTGGTGCTGTCTTTCGCTGATCTCTCTTACTGGTGACAATGCTATGTTTATCCTCTGCTTTTGTAGTAACTCTCTTTCGTCCAGGTCTATTTCTATCATCATAACTTCCAGGTTCCTCTAGCCTCTTCAGAGTGTAGTGGACTCCTTTGTTAGACACCTTTTGGCGTTTTTCTCTTTCTGTGTATCCTTCTTTCCTCAATGTATGAATCTGTACTTTTGTTTCTTTACTCAGTTCCTTCCTTCTAGCCATTTTTGGGGTAGTTTGAACGCAGTTGAGATTCATTAGGATTTTTGTATGCAGACTCTCAAAAGCCAAAAAGTTAAAGTGAATAATCCAACTGTGATTTGTTTTTTTGCTTTTGCACTGAAGTTGTGACTCTTGCAAATGTTTTCAACCCTAAAACTATGCCCTTTTTATCTTTTGCTGACATATATTTAGCAATGGTCTGTTAACATCAATGTATATCTGAAGGTAAATGGAGTAAAATGGTGTATTTCCATAAAAGCAACATCTGATCATGAAGTAAATACATCCCAAAATACATAAAACTCATGCTGGATTTTAAAAAAAGCATTGTGAACAAAAACTTGAAGTTACTCCCAACTGTTCGGCCTGTAATGGCCTTGCTTCCAAACTTTTGGCCTGTAGTGTATGTATGTACATAAGATTACATTGATTCAAAGATTGACTATCCCTGAGATGAGTTTGTCTTCTATTTATTTCTACGAGGCTATAAGAGCCATGGACTCATGGTCTGAACTTGAAGACTTATTTTCCAAGATCCAATAAGATGAAAACATCTGTAAACAAACAAAACCCAGCTGCCTCAATATTTCGAGAGATTTCTGGATGTTAATTTCCCCCTCCCACCTGCTGTCTGTCCCCCGTCCAGCTGAACTCACCGCTCTCCCTCGTCGGTCATTGTCGGTGAGGGGAAGTCGCTGGTTTGTGCTGCATGCTTGCGATGACGTTCTCTTTTGTTGCTTTTGTTAAGGTGTTGACTGTTTTGGGGACAGGCTTTGTTTTCCCTCTGGGGCTTTCCCTGATGATCTACATTTAGAGTCAGCCTCTGAGGATTCTCTGAGGGCCTGCCGCTGCACAGGCAGGTGTGTTTATAGTGATGAACGTCATGAATGTCATGGTTTTGGCTGCAGACTCAGAGGGTGTGCTAGCTCAGAGATGTTTGGCCTTGAGGGGGTTTGGCTGTGGATCAGGGTTTACTTTTTGTCCCTGTGTGTTTGTTTGAGAGTGTTCCTGTGCCAGGTGATTGTGTTTACACAGACTGAACACCATCTGATGAAAAGATGGAGGCTTTCTGGCCATAATACACCCTTATGATTTCTAGAAGCAGACTGACAATTGGGTCGGTGGATGGAGAGTCTGTGAGCATCTGCACTGGACTCCTCTAATCATTTAATTTCCTCCAAGGATCATCCACCTTTATTATGACCTGAGTAGTTTTACAGTGTGTTTATTGCAATCATCCCTACCAGTGGTCATAACTAATACGTTCAAAAGAACTGGGAATAAAGCAGGGGGTGCAAGAGGAGGGTAAAACATGACAGTGTGACCCAAACCTCAGGACAGATCTTTGTTTCTCTTTATTTAGTTTGGCTTCCCAATAAATGGATTTCAATTTTTTAACACAAAGGTTTTTGTTTTTTTTTGGAATATCAGAGTCATTTTGCAGAACCATGACAGTTCCCAGATCAATAATTATCATGCATTAATTACTTTTTAATTTCCCACATTTTTACATTTTTTTCTTTATTCTCTTTGAAACAAGGTGTGTAAAGGGATATTCCAGTGCAAAATTAAGTTAGGGTCAAACACACCATAACACCAAGTTAGACACCCAGTGGAGAGATGAGTGTTGCTTGCTTCTCTAGTTATACCAACTTAATTTCTTCATGGAAATGCAATCAGACCGAGATGCTAAGGCAGAAGAACTACCATGTCTGCAGTGCAGAATGATTAATATGATGATTATTACTTCAAGGAAATGATAAAAGTAATGATCATGAATACTCTTCCTTGAGCTGCGTCACCCCACCGCAGTCAATGGACTCGCCCTGAGGTCTCTGTACAAAGAAGCGACTGCTGGAAGGGAGAGGATGAGCTGTGTTTAGTCTCTTCTTACCTAAAGAAATCAGGCAAAGTTAAAAAGGATGTTTGATGGCTAGTGCTATGGCTGGGACCCTATATGTACTGTTGATGAAGTTTGGTGCTGTTCTGAGCATTATTCGTGGCTATAGAGTGGCTTTTTGGTTGAGCACGTGGCTCTCTGTGTTGCTATCTGCGGTCGCTACTAAAGTTGGTATAACTAGAGAGGCAAGTGGTCAGCAACGTTCATCTCTCGATGGGGTGTCTAACTTAGTGTTACAGTGTGCTTGATCCTAACTTAATTTTACACCGGAATATCCCTTTAAGTTGGGAGGACAACATGTCAAAATACACAGCCTCACTCTTGAACCTTGTTGTCCATGCAGGGGTTTAAAGGGGCAGTAATGAAAATGTGGGGCTGTGCTGATTGGCTTTCTCTGGTCGGAAAAGGGCTTTTTCACTTCTTCACTAAAAGTTTGGACAAAGAAAAAACCTGCAGTTTGTATAAATATAGACTTAGTCACATGCAATTACTTTATGTATTGAAATGATTCATTTAACAAGTTTAGATGCAGTTTTATCAGGACAGATGACTTGAGTAGATCACTTAGTGATGCAGGTTCACTTCAGGGATGGGGCAGTAAGTCCTTAACTGTCTCCGAACTCAAAACTTGGACATGACAACAATGTGGGATTTCTGCAGTTTTATACCATGCACCCATCAAACCAAGAAACACAGATGTGGACTTCATATCTGACTGTAATGAAGTTAGATGAGCATTTGGACTAAACCAGAGATTACAGTGATCAGAGCTGTGACCATGTGACCTGAATTTGGTCTCCTTTCCTCTCTCCCCTCGCCTCATCACTCTCTGCTGACAATTTTATCCTCCTCACATTCTTGCAGCCCACATGATGATGAACACTCCTGGCCATCCATAGTCCGGATGCCGTAGGTGAACATAGATCTGATAACGTTCAGAAAGAAAAAGTGTGGAGGTGGAGGAGGAGGCTGACTGTGGATGCCAGACATTTCTGTGGACTCTGCTGTAGTTTTATGATTTTATTCCTCAAACTCAATGAGCGATGGTTAAAGAAAAGTCAGCACAACAAGAGAGAGAAATGAAAGAGATAAAACAATTTGATATCTGCAGATCACAAGCCTGAAAATCCAAGTTTTCCCAACAGTTAAGAGTTAGGAATTAAAAGACAATATGAAGCACAGTGGTGATTTTCCAGTGAAGGAGCTTTCTCCTGCAGGGATTAGTGGATATTTTTTGTCTGTTTCACTCATCATGTTTTCCAAAATATCCTCCTTGCTGCACCAAAGCACTGCCTATCTTTAGCAGCAGCATCCAGTCCATTTGAAGCCATGATGATGGCGTGGATGTGGTGGATGAGGCGCTGAGTCAGGCTGAAGGAATGTGAGGCCAACCGTGATTAAAAAGAGAAGGAGACTGGATTGCTTCCTGTCCCCTTTAGGGAGGGGATTCCCTTTTTGATTCACACAGACCTCTTCATGGACTGGTTTTCAGGAAACTCTTTGATACAGATCCATTCTAATAGTACTGAATGCTCCTGATTCAGTTAGAAAAAGTTAGTTCAGTTAGTTTGACTTCTTCAAATTCAAGACCTCCAGCTTCTACTTGTTTGGAGAAGCTTCATAGAGGATGAAATACTCTCTTGCTGATAGTTAACAAACAACAGTTTGGTCTGCACATAAAGGAGGATTCTGTTGTTATCAACTTCAGGATATTTGTTTTGACTTTAGAGTCTGTTCACCTTTTGTTCTCAGTACACACCACAGGTTCCTTCTTGTGCTGCACCTGAGGAGAACACCTGAGCACCAATGAAAGTGGTCTCCTCAGATTTGATTGTGGGTTTTTGGTGTGCTGTGAGTCATTTGACTTCCCCTGATCTGCCTGAGGCTTCACCATGATTGGATATCAAATTTAATTGAACATGTTCAGTATTTGCTGTCAGATTCCTGCTGGAGCCTTCCTGCACGTGGTCCACTGTGCTTGTTGACTCTGAAGTCACGTTTTAGAGCTGCTGGTGGATACTACTTCAGAGCTAGTGGACTCTGGTTGTCCGTGGATGAATCTGTTGTTGTGTGATGTGCTGTTTGGACCACCTCTTTGCTCTTCAAAAACTAACTTGTCAGATCTGTCAGTATTTCTGATCATGTTTGTGGAGTTTCTCACATTTTCAGCATCTGTTTAGGTCTGAGAAGCTGCTCCTTCAGTCTGTTTGGATCGTGGTTTCGTCCTTGGCTAATGTCAGCTGTTTGTTTAAGCTCTTTCACAGCGACACTGGCTCTTTCTTTGAAAGTATTGATCGCTCTGTGTGTTTGGTTTTGTCGGCGCACTGAGGAGAGTTTGGTTTTCATGGTAACGCTGTTGTCCTCTGGAGCAGGCATGAATAGGAGCATTATGGTGGGAATGGACTGTGTGGACAGAGCAAGTTGCTGCCCTTGAGCACAGCATTTTTCCACCCTGGACTGATAGAAGCGCGGTCTCTGTGCTTTGGCTGATAAGCTCCTCTCCTGCTGTCAAGGCCCTCAGCTGCAGGCAGCTGTGCCTCCGCCATTATACTGTACAGGATTTACAGCAGGCCCCGCAGTTATCTGTCAAGCACACACACACACACACACACTGAGGCCCTGTGCTGGGTGGCTGAAGTTCAGGCTCTCTGTGTGACTCCTCTCATTGTTCTCTGGAAAGTCTTTCTGTATTTGTTTTCAGTTTTTGTTGAATCCAGGAGGGGGCCACCTGATCTCCTGACCCTGTTTAGTGATCAAGAGTGGAGATCCAGTTTCAGTGCTGTCATTTCATTTGACTCTTGTCTTTGTTTTCTTGTGTTAAAACACCTTCAGACCCCTTTAAACTCACAGGGCTCAGATAAACCTGTCTGTTCTCCTCACAGTGATTTTAAGGCTTCCTGACTGTTGCTTACTGTGCAAATTTTTTTTCCTCGATTAAAGGAGGGAAAACATGTTTGAGATGCAAGATTTTTATTTTTTCCACATTTTTAAGCAGAAAATTGCAAATTCTGCTTTGCCAAACTGCTTCAACATGGAAGTAAAGCTAAAAAGAAACATGTCAGAGCAGAAACATCGTCACCAGGCTGTACGATTTTTATCACTTTCATGATGACAGATAACTGCTAAAGCTATAAGTTTTGTACAGGATGTTCTTGTGCTTTATTGTGAAATTTGCATGAGAGAAATGATATTTTCAGCAGTGAGGAAGAGCAAGGAAGACCACTGAACACTTCTCTTTTCTTAAAAATACAGTTTCTAATTTGTCCGCCCTGTGAAGTGTAAACCTCCACTAAATCTTAGCTCTCATTTATCCTCATCAAATTTAACTGTATTATTTTTTTATTAAATTCTCAATAATTTTGCTGTTTTTATTTGTAATTGAATGTGCTCTGAACTTCTGAAAACATCTGAAAATTCTCAGGTTGAGCTGCATGTGTGAATGCAAACAGCTCTACCTTACTCAGACCTTTTCCTGGTAACTATTCCACAATAGGCCCGGGTGAGCTGATGTGAGAACTCTGCAGGTTGAAGTCAGAAACAGGGTGGTGCCCGACATAATCCTGCTGCCACATAATAATACATACCTCCTGCCTCCCGTGTCATCTTTTCCACTCATTTGCCCAATTGTATATCACACTAGAATAAAGACAAGAAACTGTCATTACATACAGTGAGAACTTAAGTTTGTAAGGGACATGAGAAAAACAGCAATCCAGTTTCAGAGGCAGGCTGTCTTCCTGTGAGTGGTCAGGGTTTCAAAGGAGAAATCTGATTGACAACCTTAGCAGAAATGGCTTTTTATGACTGAGGAGTTCCTTATGAAATATTATACATTACATTTTTTTTTCAACTTATTCATAAGGGTTATCAAATACCCAGAAACTGACTGCACAGTTTATGTGCCTGAAAGAGTGGAGATAGAGGCCAAAGTAAAGCCAAAATTATTAGCCCCCTATGAAATTTTCTGTTTTTTTCCAAAATTTCCCAAGTGCTGTTCAACAGATAAATGATTTTTTACACAGCTTTTCTAAACATCTTTGTTTTATTTTGGATCCTTACATTATTTTACTTTGCACACAGAAACAAAATTTTTTCACTAAACCAAAAACTACCAGGGTCAAAAATGTTAGCCCCCTTCAGGCGGATAGTCAATTGTGTGTCCTTTTTGCTGGATAACAGCATGCAGTCGGTTGCTGTAGTTTGTAACAAGGCTCTGGCACATCTCCTGAGGAATCCCAGCCCATTCCTCTTTGGCAAATCTTTCAAGCTTCTCCAGATTTGATGGTCTTCTAGCATGGACCCTGGTCTTCAGTGCAGCCCACAGATTTTCAATTGGATTTAAGTCAGGGCTTTGTGCAGGCCAGTCAATAACGTTCACTTTGGTTTCCTGAAGGCAGTACCTCACCAGGATTGCTGTATGGTTGCTGTATGTTTTGGGTCGTTGTCGTGTTGGAAGACAAAGCGACGACTCAGACCCAGTTTTTGCTGCTGACTGCTTGAGGTTTTCTTTCAAAATCTTCACATATCCTTTTTTCTTCATTATTCCTTCAACCTTGACAGGATTCCCAGTTCCAGATACACTGAAACATCCCCACAGCATGATACTCCCACCACCGTGTTTAACTGTAGGGACTTGGGGTTATACGCCTCTCCCTTCTTTCTCCAAACATAAACAATGTCTCTGTGGCCAAAGAGCTCTAGTTTGGTCTCATCTGACCAAAGACCATGTCTCCAGTGTGCACAGTCTTTCTCCAGATTGTCCTTAGCATACTTCAGTCTGGCTTGAAGGTGTCTCTTTTGTAGAAGTGGAGTTTTTCTTGGCCTGCATCCTCGCAGTCCATTTCTGTTCAGGGCTCTAGAGACTGTCTTGTTTGACACCACAATTCCTGACTCGGCTAAGTCAGCAACTACTGTTTTGGTGGTTGTTCTAGGTTGTTTAGACACATCTCTTACCAGTTTTCTTTCCAGTTTCTTTGAAATTTTTCACTTCCTACCTCTCCCAGACGTGTTCTGTACTGTGTGGCTCTCCTTAAATTTCTTGATGATACTTCTCACTCCACTTCTTGATACTTGGAAATGCTGTGATAAATTTGTATATCCTTCTCCTGCTTTGTGAGCATCAACAATTCTTTTTCTCAAGTCTAAACTGAATTCTTTTATATTTGCCATGATGCCTTCTCAAGTGACAGCTCAAACGCGTAACAAGGTTTTTATACGGTGTGTTAAGTATAGGACAACCTTTTGTTTTAACTTAATTGATTGATTGATTACAAGCTGTGAGCACTCGGAAGTGAAAGCACATGATTGCACAACAGTGGCTTTTGTTTTGGCTCAATAAAAACGTCAATTCTTAAGGGGGCTAATAATTTTGACTCTGGTTGTTTTTGGTTTTTGTGAAATAATTTTGTTTCTGTGTGCAAAGTAAAATAATGTAAGGATCCAAAATCTTGAGTCAGGTTTGTGCTTCGTCTCAATAACTGCAGTTTTTTAAAATCTTTTTAGTTTCTCTGTTATGTTCAAAATGATGACAGTTTGATCTCATCTCCATGGCAACAAAAAGACTCAGCACTGATTGAGATCTTCCTGAATAGATCTTGACTTTGTTAGGAAGGTGTTCAGTAAAGCAGGGAGTCACGTTGAGGCCTAAAATGGACTCTGATGACTCATACTCCCAGAATGCACCATGAGGGGTCATGATAGATGACTGTGGCACGCCATATTACAGACCGCTGATGATTCAGACTGAGGCCCTGAAGGTTAGGTTAGGAGAGTCAAGTCTGGGCTCTGTGGTGGCCTGAGGTTTATCTCTGAGCACAGAGAATGAAACAGACAACACCTGCTGCCTTGAGATAAACTCCTCTCCTCTGAAGTCTATTACACAATGCATCAAAGTCAGGCTGCCAAAGTTTATAGCTGTAATGCATTAAACCAATCTACCCAAATTAAGCTTTAACTTTTAATACAGATATTAACAAGAACTCTAATCCCATGAAAACAAATTTTGCAGAAAAAAAATTTGAGGGCTGAGATCCATGAATCAAGTCTGACTTTCAAAAACTCGTGTCTGTCAAGTTTTTTCTCTTTGTAGTCATAAAAAAGTTGACAGACATTTAAAAACTGACAGAACAGGATTTGAGAGAGAGGGTTATATTGCAGTTTTACCGGAGCTTGTAGGGTTATTTTTGTAGGAAAATTCAAAAATGTTCCTGAGGAGGAGAGAAATGAGAAATTGTCAAATATCTTTACCTAATCCTAACCCCTTCACGCTTCTGAGTTCATATTATGACTAGAAATATAGTAGGATGATACTGCAACAAATCAAACACACAAGTTTAGTCAGTGTGATCAAAAAACTCGACCTGACAGGCATTTGAAGGCCCCAGATATAAAGCCTTGTTTTATTTCAAAAAAGCCGACGATAAAAGTGTCACATGTGGAGTAAAATGTCCCAAAATTGAATCAAGAGAAAATTTTCTGTCTTTTTTGTCAAAAAACAATCATATTTCATTTATCAGTGTAATAAAGTATACCAGAGGAGTTTCAGTAATCCAGAGCTAGATGTTAAAACATTCAACAGAGACACTTGAAGAGTTTGTAATGAGTTTTCCTTCAGCTCTCCAATATTGAACTGAGGAATTATTTAAGGAAAGAAATGACCTGGAAAGATCCAGATTGTGCTGTAAAGAGCCCAAAATCAGAGTGGGTTTAGTTTTGTTATGACAGTTTCTGTTGTGTAACATTCAGCAGCTCGAACACAGTTGACATGTGTGACTGCTGATGATTGATAAGACAGTCTGTGTCCACATCATGTGACCGTTGTTTGTCAAACAGGTTCACAGTGGCCTGAGCAGAGCTCTCCCTCACTCTCCAAGCAGCTTGTGTTTATTCCCTGTTGTGTTTATCCCTGCGACTGCAGCTCGTAGTATACAGCCAGATATCCAGTAAGCTCTGTTTGGTGACAAGCTATTGTTTGTTTGTTTGTTTGTGCACGGACAGGCACATGAATCACAGAGTCTGACTCAGAGAGAGAGAGAGAGAGAGAGAGAAAGAAAGAGAGGGGCAGAGTGAATAAAAGGAGGGGAGCTGGGTCACACAGATGGTCATGATGAAAGGGTTTCATCCACTAATAAGAGACTTTTCACTGGTCGGTGGCATCTTCTCTCAGACTGTAGCTCCCTCTAATCCACCTTACAGAGCGTGCTCCTGTAGGAAAGACCCGCCCTCACCTTCAGCAGAAGATTTGACTGTAAAAATCAGGATTTTATTGAGCTCTGCACTCAGAGTTAAACTTCGCATTCCTGTCTTTCAGAGCTCGACGCAGGAGATTGGCGAGGAGGCCGAGGATGACGCCATCTTCACCATCACGTTGAGGAAGGTGCAGCTCCACCAGTCGGCCAGTAAGGGGCAGCGATGGCTGGGCGTGGAGACGGACTCGGCCCTCAGCCTCTACGAGACCTGCAAGGTGCGGACTATCAAGGCCGGCACGCTGGAGCGGCTGGTGGAGTACATGGTGTCAGCGTTCAGGGGCAAAGACTCTACCTACGTCACCATCTTCCTCTGCACATACCGCTCCTTTGCTACCACGAAGCAGGTGCTGGATCTCCTGCTGCACAGGTAAGTCCTCCTCCACCCAAGAGGATTGCAAGAAACCAAAGTAAACCTGGTCCATAAAGGCTTTTTTTTTTTGAGTGTATACACACATTTCATTTATTCAAGGTGATGAATAACTGTCCGTTTCTGAAAAGCGTTTTTCTTTTTTAATCAGAATGTAAAGTTTATATTTCCATCAAGTTTACTGAAATTTATGAGTGTATTTGTCTTAATCTTCAGGTATGCAAAGCTGCAGAACGTCCCAGCAGCCACAGCACACAGAATTTCCCAGGACGACTGCACCGAGCTGAGAAAGTGAGTCTGCTGCAGCCTTGACTGTCGAGTTGCCAACATGAATCACTGGGAGCATTCACAGCTCTGAGCCCCACACTCCTCCTCCTGGGGTTGAAGTCATATCAACAGTTTGAAGTTTTTGCAGGTTATTTTTCTCTGCTGGACACCTGTCAGAGTGAAGGAGTGGGAGGAGGAGTTTCTGTAAGAGTTGATAAAACACAGACCATGAGCTGATAATATCAGATCAGAACCATGGAAAAACTGAAGGGCTTTCTGCACAGCTTCAGGGTACAGTTAAATGGATATTTCACTGTTTTTGAAATGGGGATGTATGAGGTACAGGACATGTCAACTGTAAGTGTTTTAGCCACAGTGGATATCAGTCAGTTCAACTGTGGGGGGTCGAGCCTACTGTGTAATTGAGCTGGGTTTGAACTGACCCTAGCTCTCATCTTGGTTTTCAGCACTTTCCTCGCCCCCAGAAAGTCCATTTGTTCTTTCTCTATTTGCAGACCCGGTGCATACATGCTCCTCAGCATGCAGCACACTGATCAGCTGTATGGTCTGCAGGCTCCAAACAGACAAAATTCAACCAAACAAAGTACTGAGTGTGATTCTGACAGAGTAGATAACAAGCTGTGAAATGCAAACACAACAGAGTTTGCAGAGAAAAAAGGCAACCTAATTCACCAAAGTAAAAAGCTGATCAACTTCTGTGACAGAAGAGCAGGGGGGATCTTAAAGTGACCTGGTGGTTCAGGTGTGTAAGCTGTGAGCTCATGTCCGCAAAGAGAGAAAACTCCTGTCTGTCAGGACTGAGACTTGGGATCATCAGCATCTCTGGATCTTTGAGGTCCAGCAGCAGTTCACAGGAGGCTGCAGTCTGAGACCATCCCTAACCAGAGTCCACTGCTACACCGAGGGCTGAATGCTGTCTGTAACCCACTTTCCTTAACATTCAGGAATCAGTCAGAAAGGCAGAGAAGCTGAAGAACATCAGAGCTGATGAGGTCATATTTTCTCTGAGGTTCAAACTTCCGCAGGTGTTGAATCATCTTTTACTGTCTCTTTGTCTCACAGCACGGTCTCATCCATCCTGGGTGCATGGTTGGACCAGTACTCTGAGGACTTCTGGAGCCCTCCAAACTACGACTGTCTGCACCAGCTAATGTCCTACCTGCACTGCCATTTCCCCGGCTCAGACCTGGAGCGCCGTGCACGCAACCTGCTGGCCCACTTCCACCGCCGACAGCAGTGTGAGCCTGATCCAGATGGTATGAAGGCAGGACAGGAAAGGGAACTCAGGGCAGGGACACACAAGAACACAAGGTCCTGGTAGACAGTCATGGGGGTGAATGTAAAGATGCTGCTGTCTCAAAAACAGCCACATGCTTCGTGCTGTACTTAGGTAATAAAGGATGTTTCTGTTGAACACATGACAGGGACGAGAGTACTGTCCCTCTCAGCACACACAAGACTGATGAATGAGTGAAATAAGATTCACAGCTGCAGAGCAGGAAGTGTTAAGGCTGGAGTTCAGGTGGATGTGGGCTGTTGCAAATGTGTTTTCTTGATTGGAATCTCTGCAGGGGAACACATCGGCTGCCCTTTTGCTACGCAGGAAGAGAGCGGCTTTGAGGACGAACTTCCTGCCTTCAGCTTCCTGTCGTTTGACCCCATCATGGTGGCAGAGCAGTTCACGCTCATGGACGCGGTGAGGATGTTTCCTTTTCCTTTAACAACAGATTTAAAGTCACGGTCACGGCCACAGACACTGCAGCTCTCTGTCAGACACATGAGGGTTTGACACCTGCAGATTCTGCTGATGTCCATCATCAGTAAATCTGTAAAGTCTCAGAAAAAGTTCAGTGTCCACCTGAACCATCATAGTCTTTGTTTGTCTTTATATTTCTGCTCAAACAACTTTATTCACAAGCTGAATAAAAGCATGTCAAACTACTTAGACTAACATTTCATATTCATTTGAGTTTATTCTCATTTTTGACCTCCAGGATCTGTTTAAGAAGGTGGTGCCCTACCACTGCCTGGGGGGCATCTGGTCTCAGCGGGACAAGAAGGGGAAGGAGCACCTGGCCCCCACCATCAGAGCCACAGTGGCTCAGTTCAACTCTGTCACCAACTGTGTCATCACTACCTGTCTGAGCAACCCCACGCTGAAGCCTAACCAGAGAGCCCGGCTGCTGGAGAGGTGGATAGACGTGGCCCGGGTGAGCAGACGGCTAGACCAGGAACATTAATGGGTTTAATTTTAGATTTTTGAAGACCTTTTCTGGGCTGGAAGCTCATCAGAAACATTCACTTTATGTTTGCATTGTGTTCAGGAGTGTCGGATCTTGAAGAACTTCTCCTCTTTACGAGCCATCCTCTCCGCTCTTCAGTGCAACGCCATCCACCGCCTGAAGAGGACCTGGGAGGAAGTGTCACGGTGGGTTTCCAGTCTCTTTTTGTGTTTCATCCAGATAGACCAGTGTTTTAAATTTGCATCTCATACACTGACCTCTGGTTCTGCTCACAGGGAGAGTTTCCGCACCTTTCGCGAGCTGTCTGAGATCTTCTCCGATGACAACAACTACTCGCTCAGCCGAGAGCTGCTGGTGAAGGTGGGTCACAGCTGCTCTTAAACCCAGCATGTCCTCTCCACAGGGACCCCAGACCCTGCAGAATATGGACTTTACACCTCTGAGGAGAGGAGCTTGAGCATTTAAAAAAGCAGTACAGAGACGGGTAAATTTAGACTAGACAACCTTGTTCATTAGTTTTGGAATGATACATGATGTCTGAGCAGATAGCAGCAGGAGGTGTGGATGGTGTCCCTGTTTAGCTCACGTCTGTCACACTGCAGAGCAGAACACTTGGTTCTGTGTTCCTCCAGATCACAGTTCCTTTAAATCTCTCATGATGTCCCTCACATGGCCGGGCTCTGTGCTGGTAATAGATTCCTGTCATCATTTCTGTGATTCGTGGAGGTGATCACAAAGAGGTGGCCACACCTTTGGACTGTTTTGCAGCTCGTATTGATGCACAGTTACACCTGGACAGCAGAAAGAAACGTGACTGAAGGAGAAACAAGAAATCTGCTGGCTTTGTGCCTGTTTTTACACCTTTTTAAAGAAATATTAAAAGATTTTAAAACCATCAAATTCATACCATCTCATTCTTAACTGGGGTTGTACAACCAGCTCATGATTGGACAGTTTTTAAATCACTGAGTGTCATTTTAGAGGCTGAATCACAACAAAAGTAATATTGTTACCTGATGAAGTTGGTCTGGATTTGTTAACTATTTAGACGAGCTTTTTGCTTGGTCTTTTTTGGTGATCAGAGGGACCATTATAACTGATTTCTCCCATTCATGTTTTGTTTTAGCAGAGACTTGTTGTTTCCAAACATAAAATTTTCCAGCTGAAAACTTTCCAGTTTTAATAAAAAAATCAGAAAAAACACAAAAGAGTCCTCTAATTAGGCGTATAAAGCTGCTGCTTCCTTCAGTTTGAAAAGTTTGTTTCAATATAGAGACTGGAATTAAGTATTATCCATCTTTTTTTGTCATACTAAAGCCTGGAGATGGAGACTGCGTTCATACCCCCCCAAGTATTTTGTTGAGGTTAGAGAGCGTGAACATGGTGGGCGACCTCTGAGGGAATCCCCTCTGACGTCAGGTAGAGGTGGGGAAACCTCTGGCAGGTGTAGATAACAGCTCTGGTGTTACTCTGCAGTAAACCATCAGCTCGGGGCGTAGCCTCTCTCGAAGTATCTGCTCAGTCCAGACTGCATTGGCTCACTGCACTCAGTGTGATCAGGTTACTGCAGGAGGCCCTCCAGCATTACCTCACTCTGAGGAATGTAAGCAGTGGACTCACTCCTGCTGTTAAAGTTCAGCTACACAGCAGGACATTTGTGTATGTTTGGTGACAATTGTTTTTCACCTTCCTTCCTCCACTTTCATGGACAAAAACCTTCACATCTAATCCTTTTAGAGGTCAAACAGAAATGCTTTCAGACTTTTTCACATCTTCAAGGCTGAACATCCACTGAAGGAGAGTTCTCTTTGACCTGTCCTCTCAAACATGCTGCCCAGCTGGACTCAGAGGAAACAATTCTACTTCAGCTAGTTTTGATCTTTTCACTCACCTTGGCTTGTGCTGCTCAGCTTTTGTGAACAGCTGCGTAATGTATATAATGTTGTTGTAATGTCTAAGTATAACCCTGCTAATTGGGCTTTGGCTCTGAGTCTTCACAATATAATCAGAGCTTGTGTAATGAGTCTGTGACACGTAGAGTCCAGCCAAAGTTTGATCAAGCTGTCCCATGTTTCATTATTAGGATGTTTGCTGTTACTATCATGCGGCTGCTTATTGTTGTATCAACATAATTTCTTATTTTTTGCACGTTTAATTCTTTGCATTTTAATGTGAACCTTTTTTCTATTTTCTTGCAGGAGGGGACCTCTAAGTTTGCCACTTTGGAGATCAACCCCAAACGTGCTCAGAGGAGACACCAGCAGCAGAGAGACCTGGTGAGCCCACAAACAGAGTGGAGTTATACTGTTAAACCAAAGTCATGAGGGGCAGACTCACAGAAGGTTTGCACCTGATGAACCTGCTCTCATGAGACAAAAAGACTGTCAGTCAGAAAGCAATGGGATGAATATTTCTACACTGTGCTTCAGAGCCAACAGTCTTTGTGTGCCTACCTGTCTGTCTGTGCAAGTTTTTCAATGGGCCAGCATTGGTCCCACAAACACTCACACTTCAGAGTGAGAACTTATTTACTGTTAGGCAGCCACAAAGATTACTGTACCCAAACTTTTAGGGATCACGTCAACAGTTTAACCTCTGGATGACCTAAAATGATAAATCTGTACACATAGCCTGTTTTGATATTTCAGTTTTTGTTATAATAAGTAATTAAATTAAACAATTTGTTTGTTTGTTTTTTAATCTTTCTAACAAAGGTAAAATTTAGCAGCTCTATTTGTCTAAAAAGAGTAAAAATTCTGATGCTATTACTAACTGGGATCAATTCTTCCTGAATCGTTCGAACTTTATTACACCCTGACACATGGGTGGTGCCTAATACAGAGCAATCAGAACTAATTTTGGGCTAATATCCCCACCTTGTGGCCAACAAAATAACAACAGTCTAAGGATAAAAAGCTACAAATATGATGTCTGTTGTAACTTTTGGTTTATTTGATAAATGACTGAAATGAAAAGTCTGTTAAAGAAGCTCAGTGCAGAAGAATTTCAAATCTTACATGAGAGGAGGTGATTGATTTATTTCACATGAGTCTGTGTTGTACAAATGCTTGACTATGCAGTCTGAGAAGGTTGATCTGGTCGAAAGTTTCTGTCCCTTTTGGGGAATGTATTTTTCTGTTTTTTAGCCTCTCTCAGACTTAAACTCCCGTTCTTTTTCTTCTTGTTAACCTTTCCTGACACTTCCTCCCTTTGTCTGTGATCAGGGGGTGATGCAAGGGACAATTCCTTACCTGGGGACCTTCCTGACCGACCTGGTGATGATGGACACGGCCATGAAGGATTACACTGAGGTCAGACACCTTAAACATTATATACATAATGATGTATTTTATTCAAAGGCATCTTTCAAAGCATTCGAGGTCGCCTTACAAGAGAAAGTTAAGCTAAGACAACCAAATAAAAAGGTTAAAACAATGAAGAAAAAGACAGATTTCTCTTCAGTGACTTCGACACTGTTTTGTTTGTGGCTCTCATTTTTTTCCTGATCTCCTCTCTCAGGGTGGGCTGATCAACTTTGAGAAGAGAAGAAAGGTATCAAAAGTTTTCTTGTGTTGTTGTAATGATCTGACATTGAAAAACAGACAGGAATAAATTGTTTTTCACTGATGAAAAGCTGGATTTTCTGCCTGGTCAAAGCGCTTCTATTGACCATGTCTTGCTTGTTTGTCTTTTTCTGCAGGAGTTTGAGGTGATTGCTCAGATCAAGCTGCTCCAGTTGGCTTCTAATAACTATAGTTTCACTCAGGACAGTCACTTCAGAGAGTGGTTCGCAGGTGTGGAGAAACTCAGCGAGGCAGAGAGGTGAGTTGCTCAGATTCTGCTCTTTTTTTTCCTCCTCCTCTTAAGTCTCCTGACACTTCATCTTTTTGTTTATTTTCAGCCCTTTGGTTGTTTTCTTAAAGATACAGTAGTTTAACCTCAAGTGCTAATGTCAGCCTTCTTTGTGAATAATCCTGCACTTTCACCCAGATTTTATGAATTGTGTGATCACGGCAGTACAGATATCCAGTCTGTGGTCTTGGATCATTCAAAGTTGGCACCTGTTTTAATAATGATACACATCAACCTTAACCTAACCCAAAGTTAAAACAAAAGGCAGCTTTCAGTTTCTATGGCCCCCGGTTGTGGAACAGCCTGCCGGAGAGCCTCAGGGCTGCAGAGACTGTTGATGTTTTGAAGAAGAGGCTCAAGACTCACTTTTTTTAACCAGGCCTTTCACTGATAGCCTTTTTGTTTCTCTTATTGCAAATGTTCATTTTAATCAAAGTTCTTAATGTTTCTTTTATATAATTTTATTAAGTATCTTAGTTTTTTCTTAATTCCCTCCAGAGGTGTTTTTTTTACTTCTTTTACCCCATTTATATGGTAAAAAGCTCTTACTTATTTGTTCATTTTATATTATCTTTTTGTCTTAGTCCATCAGGTTTTACGCTGGCTTTTTACCATTTTTTTCCTTTTATCTCCAGTGTTTCTCAAAGGTAGCTTTCCTCATGCAATGTCTCAGTGTCAAGCCATGTCTCTTTGACAATGTATCTTAAATTCTCGCTCTGTGTGCGCTTGTGTGTGTATGTCTGGGTGAATGAGGGCGGGTGTGTGCCAGTGTGTGTGTGGGTCTGTGGGTGGGCTGGTGGGTCAGGTTTTATTTTTGTTTAATTGTTGTTTTTAGTCTCTGTGAGGCGCTTAGAACTACATTTCTTTGTCTGAAAAGTGCCATACAAATAAAGTTGAATTTGAATTTAAATCAACAAAATAAGTCTAACCCTTGGAGAGTTTAGACTCATGTTAAATGTCCTCATGTTGTGTTTTATTTCCCGCAGCTACAATCTGTCTTGTGAAATCGAGCCTCTGTCAGAGTCAGCGAGCAACACACTGAGAGCTAAGAAGAACGGAGGAATCATGAAACGTTGGAGCGAGTGAGTGTCGGGGTTCTGAAAACATAGACTGAGGACTTTCATAAAAGGAAGTCTGTGTGGTTTTTAATCGAACTGTTTTTATTTTTGTCCAGCCGGCAGCTGACAGAGGCCGGCTGCAGCAGCGCCTCCAGCTCTCACTCAAAGTCCTTCGACCACTCGCACTACAGACCATATCAAGGAGGCGGGGGGGACAGTGGGGATGCCCTCAGTGTTACGTCTGTCAGCTCCAGTGGTTCAGACCTGGAGGACGTCAATGCCAGCTTCCTGTCCGACTCTCCAGAGGGACACGAGAGGAAGGTAAGGTATCAGGGCAGAGACGGATTTCAGATTGAACACCAGACCTGCAGATGTGGTTGGGTTGTGGCTGTTTTCTGTTGATGATTTCATGTTTAATGGTCCTCTAAAAATTGTTCAACAGTTATTACTGTACAAGGAAGAAGACCATACGTTACGGTTGGCTCACATTAGCCAATCAGATGCTCATGCTCACCTGTGTGGTAGTTGTTTAATAGAGTCTGTTTCTCTCCCCAGACATCGACTCCTTCAGTGAAACTCACCGTCTCTGCTTTGGGGAGAGAAGCTCCACCATCAGACACCACATCAACAGTAATACACTTTGACTTGTTGATCTTATTTGACTTCATGACACATAATTTCCTCCTTGAAATCCAAACAGTATTGTCTGTATTTTGTGGTGTTGACAAAGTAATCAGTGAGTAAAGGTTGGAGTAACCCTGATGGCATAATTTTCAAAGATGGTGTGACTTGCTCTGTTTGTGATGAGTAAATTTATGGTGTAGTGAAATGTTTGCATCGCACATTTCACGAAATAAAGTGAAATTGAAATCAAGTAAGTCTTCGATTTTCCCTCCTCCTCAGTCAGGTTTTAACTCCCCCTTTCTCTCTCACTCCTCTCGTCCTGTTCAGTTCTGGGAGTGCACGTCTCTTTCGTCTCTTGACACCTCTGGTACGGGATCCAGCTCTGGGTCAGCCTCAGGATCCAGCTCCGCCTCCTCATCCTCTGTCTCTTCCTCCACGCCGCTGTCAGCGTCTCGCTCACACAAACGCTCGGTGTCTGCAGTGTCGAATTACTCGACTTTGTCTCTGCCGCTGTACAACCAGCAGGTGGACGACTGCTGCATCATCAGGGTCAGCCTGGACGTGGAGAATGGGAACATGTACAAGAGCATCCTGGTCAGTCTGACGATCATCTCTCTTTCTTTTTAAGGATTAGAAAAATAGAGAACTTGGGAATGTTATACTTCAAAGGATTTTTCAATGTTTCCTTTAATGTTTGGATTACCTTATTTTCCTTGATACTGAAATAGACTCTTAAGAATAGACTCTGACTAATGTCTGTCCTCTGATACAGGTGACGAGTCAGGACAAAACTCCAGCTGTTATCAGGAAGGCGATGATCAAACATAACCTGGAGCGAGAGAAGACTGAGGAGTATGAGCTGATGCAGAAAATCTCTGAGGACAAAGGTAGAAACTGAAAACACGATCCAACTGACCCTCATCAGAATAACCCAAAAAGTGTCTGCAGACTTAAGGCGTGAAATAAGTAGCATCAATCTAACTCTGTTCAGGTCTCATTTCTGTCTGTCCTCTATCATGTCACCTTAGAATATCCCTTTTTTAAGCGCTTTGAGGGTCTCTGATAAAGCGCTTTATGAAATCTGATGCATTATTATTATTTATTCTCTGTTGTATAAAACAGTTGAAATGAGCCCAAACACACATTTCATCATCCTTTCATTTCATTTCAGATGAATCTTAGCAATCTCTTAATATTGGAGTAAGAGGCTCCTGTAGATTAGACAGAGCTTTAGTGATCCTTCAGAGAAATACTCAACCTCAATATTACAACCTGCTTTATAGGTCCTGAGCTCTGCTCCAATCTTGATCTTATTCTGATCAATTTGCTCTACCCTGTCTCAGATTTTTAATCTCTCCTGACTCCTTGTTCCCTCTCTTCTTCTGCAGAGCTTCGGATCCCGGACAACGCCAATGTTTTCTACGCCATGAACTCCACTGCCAACTACGACTTCGTGCTAAAGAAGCGTGGCCTAGCCCGCCCGGTGCGGGCCAAAAATGTGGCAAGCTCCACGCTGCCTCGCATGAAACAGAAGGGACTTAAAATTGCCAAAGGGATTTTCTGAGCAGAGACAGACACACCTCTTCCTGCTCCCCCTCTGCCCCCTTTAACCCTCTCTGGGTCTTCACTCCTCAGAGGAAATGTTTCTGTTCAGGTCTGCTGGAAGCAAACTGAGCGGAAATGTCTGAGTTTGACTTTCGACAAAAAAGTGGGAAAACCGGAGGAAAGAAAGAAGTGAGAGAACTTTCTGTGGATTTTCAGGAGGAAGATGAAACAGAGGAGCACCTTAGCAGATGTCAAGTTATAGAGGAAGGTGGATGAGCACAGTAGGACATGTTTATCTTGGAGTCAATCTGGACCCACCTGAGCTTAGCCCGGAGTTTCACATGGACGTGTGGGATTTAGGAGGAGCAGATCCATTTCATTTCCTGGATATTTTGTTTACAAGCGTTTACATGAAATATCACGCTCAGCTCTTTAACACTTTAGTTCCTCCTGTTAACAATGAGAGTTCAGCACCTTCAGAGAAACTTATCCAAACTCCCTCTGCCTTCACCTCCCTCTGTCCTCTCTCACACGCCCCCTGCTGGCACGGAGTGTACATAACAAACAACAGGAAGCCACAACATGTAAACACATACACACAGACACACACACAGGTGTGTGAACAGCTGGGTGTTTAGAATGTGTTTCTATTTTTCAGGGAACTTTTGTTGTGAGTGTACCGCCGCCTTTACCGTGTCGCCCTGCGGGGTGCTCCTGATGTCGACGTTGTTTCTGGGACTGCGGCGCTGAACTGTCCACGCTCCATTCAGCATTTGAAGACCAGCAACGCTGACGAAGGTTTTCACCTCTGAACGCTGCCATGTAACAAAAAGAGAAAAGAAAAGTGGAACAGAGAGTTAAACCATGTGGGAACAGCTATGTATCACACACCACTGTTTTCTTTTTTAATATGAATGAACGGAGTCCACTACATGCTGAAGGGCGAGTCTGTCCCTCCATCGCTCTCGACAGAGGTCAGAAAACCGAGTGGGGAACAAACGAACTGAAAACAAACAAACTGAGTGTAAATATCTTGAACACCACCTGTGCAGTATGTTCTTTAAAACGGACAGTGAGATGTTGTTCACATACTCGTCACAATATCAACACTTTTTTATTTTGCTTTGTACATTGTGTTTGCATCTCTCTGCTCTGATATGGTGCTGCTAATTATTCTTCTGAAGATGTCGTTCCAGCTGCACTTCACTGCTTTCTTTAGGGTCCGCCGCCATTGTGGAAGACGACACAAACATCTCTGTTCACCTGCAGAGTGAGGCATTCAATGCTGTGTTTGCTGTTTGGGGGAATTAATGTTCAATTTCCAAATAGTCTTTGGTTTGGAAGCTCATATCAGACTGACATAGAATTTTAAATGTAGCTCTGAGTTTAACTATGATAGATTTGTGTTAAAATATAAGATGTAAGCACTTAAAGTTTGTTTTACTTCAGAGAAGTTCGACTTCTCAAATTATGTGTATCTTTTTATCATTTCAGAACGTCAAATGGAATCTCCAAATCATTTTCTTGACACAGATAAGTGTCAATGGGGTAAAGAATTATTAAATACTGTCAAATTTGTCTGTGTTCAAGCCAAAATGTTAACTGAAACAAAATTTAATTCAGCTTCAGCAGCTTATTCAGATAAATTATTTAATATAATAATGATAACAATAATAAGAATAAGATGAATCGGTGAGCTATACGTGCCTCCACAGTGCAGTATGAGAGAAAATCTGTGACAGGGCATTTTATAAAAATAAATAACACAAATGAGATGTATGTCATAGAAACGCCATCAGGTGCCCAGGTTTATCTCCGTCATTTCAGAAAAGACTCACTTTAAATTTTCTCCAACAGCAAACTAAACATTGTGTCTCACCTGCATGAAGAAGAAGAGGCAGATTTCGTGAATGTATTCCTCCACCATGGCGGCTCTTCCTTCATATCTATCATAACCACTTTTTCTGAATGTGCCATGACAGGCGTGTGCGTTTAAGGGACACACCCACAAGTCCCGCTGATTTATCCTGCAGGATAAACATTTCTCCAAAAGTGTCGGCTGTGGGATAACGGTGATGACAGCAGCCTTTCCTCTTTGGGCTCTTGCTCTCTCTCTCTCTCTCTCTCTCTCCCCCCCTGCCCTCTCTCTCTCTCTCTCCTCTCTCCCCCTGCTCTCTCTCTCTTTCTCTCTCTCTCTCCCCCTGCCCTCTCTCTCTGATTCTCTCTCATTGGTTTAGTCGTAGGAGATCAGATGAATGACGGTGATGCTGCCAAGCTGCACAACAGGGAACAAACTCCTCTCTTTCTGTTTCTTTAAAGGAAAAAAATCCAACCTGAAACACCGTCTCACTGGTCCCTCGCTGGTTGGGTGCACTTTATTGTTTTTTATTTCTGGTGATGCAAAATACTTCTTCAAAAGACTTTTTTCAGGGGTTTTCTGTCTCTGTGCATGCACACGATGCTCATTACTCCAATCTCCATAATTTATGTCAAGCTCTCTGTTCCTGCAGGTTGCATATCGTTTTGCAGCATGCAGTTATGATGTCTGATAACCTGGAAAAAAAATGGAAAAACTTTTCAGCATCAGGTCAACAAAATAAAAGAAAAAAAAACAGCCAGAAGGTGCAGTTTTCCACCTACAGCCAAAGCAGTAGCTCACAGACTTGGTCCACTGTGGCAGAATAATGAATAAATAAAAAACGAATACAGCTTTGAGTCTGTTTGCTGGTGCTTACACAGCTTTGACAGGACTAGCTTTCACAAATTGAAGCACTTGTACTAACTTGAGGTTAATTTGAGGTTGTGGTTCCCCTAAACAAGTCCAGATTAGCTGAGGTTTGCATCTTTTGCAGTCTAACATGTGTTTTCATGTATTTTTAGGGGCCTGTTTCCACTAACAGCATTTTTTTGCAGGGGGACCTTAAATTCAGAGCACTGCTCACTGACATGCATTACTGCAAGAATAAAAAAATGACTTGCTGCACTTCTGCTTCCCCAGTAGTGACAGTTTAGTCTGTATTGAAATGTTCAGTATTCTTCATATTTTCTTTTATTTAAGAGCCTTCAACAAGAAAATGTAATGTTAAAAAATAGTACTGGTGTAGCTCAGATGGTAGAAAAGGCACCTTGTGAACAAAAGCTGTAGTCCTTATCACACTGGTCATACTGGTCCCCACATATCCTGTCTCTCACTCAAGATGCCTCATCTGATCGGGGCTAAGAAAGCTCCTCAATTAATCTGTTTAACAATAGGCCCCAACACTTACTGATTGTGATTGGTTGGTGAAGGAAGGTGACATTAATCAGTACAGTGTTTCAAAAGTTGATCCACTTTCAGCTGGGGGGGGGGGGGGGGGGGTTGTACTTTGGACAGTGAGGACTGAAAATCACCGCCGTGATTTTGTTCAGAGCCCCAACAACCCACAGAAAACGCTGTCAGTGGACACCAGCCCTAACACTTTAATTTGTAATTTTGAAAGGCAAAAGAAAAAACTACAGTTTAAAAACTACTGAAGTTCTGTTTTCTTGAGGTATTAACATCATTAAGCCAAGATCTTGGGAAAACCACTATCACAAGAGAATTGTATTGATGAATTTCTGTAAACAGACGAATTTGTTAATTTTTTAAACGTCTTCACTGGGCCCCTGCATGGTGTTCTTTAAAATAAGGTAACACCAAATTGTGTGACCAGAGAGCAAAGGTTGGATTTTTCCTTTATTTCCTGTATCAACACAGCAAAAACACTAAACTAGCCTGGACTGCACTGCCATGTGTTGCCTTTTTTTGTTATGTCCCTCCTGCATCTCCATGATTCTCTTATTAAAAAACTGAATGACATGCCCGCCCCCCGAAAAAGATCCATACCTGCAGAAGCAATATGTTGAAACTGGTTGTCGGCCTGTCACAGATGTTGTTTGTGAAATCCTTTGCTGTTGAACACTGTGACCTTCGACCCCTTCACTCTGCCTGTTGATTGGTGCGTCATGTCTAGCACTGTGAGCTGAAACAAAATGAAGTTGTGTTCCCTCTTTTTCGGTGTCCTAGTAAACATCAAACCGCTCTACTCTTGATAGCGAGCAGCGAAGGAGACAGGCCGACCCCTTCATGTGCCAAAAATAAAAAGAAAGAGATAAAAGGTTGATTTGAACAGATGAGTCCTCTGCCTTTCACCGGAAAAAAAATCTACTTTGTATGTTTACTGTTGTTGCATTTTTCTGGAAAACAAAAAAAGGGTGATAACGCTACGATGTCTGGACCCGCTTCCCTGTGGAGAATTAAAACTTGAAAATGATTGATGAGCCTGCTGCAGAACACTTTCATGAATTTAACCTTTTTTTTATGTTTTAATGTCATCTTTGAGGATCAGGACACTGTAAGGTTTGCCCAGCAATTTATATCTATGAATCTGACTTTCAATGCAACCTAACTCCAAATCTGGGATGGGTTCAAGGACCAAAATGCTCCTGAAGGAAATGTAAAGACTCATACACTTACCCAGAGTTTTGGGACTATTTTATTCACATTAATTCATACACACCTCATGAATATTCATGATTAAAAAGGACTGTTTACATCTCTTTCTTTACGGCTCATAACTGTACAAAACTTTGAAGATATTTTGCTCTGATTTTAACAAAAAAAAAAAAAAATTCATCTGAGCTATAGAAACAAGAATAACTTCCTTGTCTATCTTCCAGATAAACCTGATTCACTGGTTTTGTCTAAATCTAAAATGTTTAAAAGCTCATAAACATTAAGCTTCAATCTTTAAGCAGATCGTCAGTTTTCCCACCGTCCCTTGAACACAGCTTTGTTGAGTTTGGTTGGACTTCCCTGTGCTTTCATAATGACCATGTCTCCTCTCTGGTTGTGTACAGTGTCTCTGCAGCAGCTCCATCCCCCCTCTGAATGTGTTTCTGAGGATTTTGTGCACACGCTGAGTGGGACTTCAAACTCTGATTTTTGATGAGGTTGATGTTGGACTGGTCTGGGTGTTGTCTTAGCCCTGTGTTGAAAATGACGTCTGTTTTGTGATTTGACCTGATTCTGTGCGAGTATGAACAAAAAAAGGCTGTGTTTACAAGAAAAAAAAAAAAAAAAAAAAACAGCTGGCGTGGTGTGTGTGTTAAATTTTTGATTTGATCATTTTTGTTTAATTTCCCCTGATCTGTGCTCGGGTGCCATTTTCCATTTGAGACAAGAAAAGTTTTTTTTGTTTGTTTTTTTTGTTTCTTTTTACTACAGTCTCTTGTTTTGTTTCCCTTTCCCTTCAAACTCACATGTAGAATAAAACTGTCCTCAGTTCTTTCTGTTTATTTATTGATTTGTATATAGAGATTTCGTTTTGCATTGTACATTCTCTCCTTTCTTGGTTATAGATTAATATATTCATGTATATATGAAAAACATCAAGTTTATAAAAGTAAAATGACTCATGGTCTTTATTTTTCTTTCTTTGAGGTGATGTTACAGCGAATAAACTTAAACTTTTCAGCCGCTAAAAGAAATCACCCCAATGACTGAAACACTGAAAGAAAATTTTAATATCTTGTGGTTTACATGATGTTACAACATACTCTGGAACTGGTTTATAATTCAACTTTTTCATTACAGTTTTTACATATAAGTCAAGATGGG